TGGAAAAGCGTCTGGTGATAATTAAGGATGGGCAGTTTCGGGTTAGAAATTACAGTCCGTGCAGGCTGTTTGGAGTGCCCTTGGAATGATTCTTGGGTGCCATTGTGCATCCTTTAAATAAGGGGGTAATTGCAGAAATAGCGTGTTTCCGAGTGGAAACGTTGTCGGGATCCGAGAGATGTACATTTGCAACGAAAGTGGGACCCCATCCGCAAATAATTTTGCTGTGAAACAACGAAAGATGTATTTTTGCATCGCTTTGAAACTGCCGCGAACGCGAACAGCAACGCGCTATTTTTGAGACTCAAGCTTTAAATAGGACTGCTTGGTATACTTGTCACTGTGAAAGAGATCCCTCCATCTGAGATATCGGATTCTACGCGCGCCCCGAGGACTTGTCTGTCCATCCCCCCTGACCTGATTCTCGTCATGCATTTGCCTCATCAATTGTGGTGAATAGGTTACAACTTAAAAAAGTCCTTCGGATTAACATCAGACGAAAAATGATTTCAATTTGCAATTTTGGAAAAGTAATAGCCCCTGGGAATTTAGGCAATATGTCCTTAGGGACTTCAGCAACGTGTCCTTAGGGATAAGTCACTTTTGTCGTTCTTTTTTTTGTTTTCTGCCTCTTGTGGCTGGAGGGAGTTTCCTATTGCAAACATGATAACTTCTAAACGATTTTTATTTGAAACAGAAAATTTTCTGAAGGCATTTCTCGGTCCCTTTGGCGACAGAATGGCATACGCGGTCCTCCCGGACATCCAATCGGAACGATACAGAGAAGATTAGCATGGCCCCTGCGCAAGGATGACATGCATAAACACAGAAATGGTATTGAAAAAATAAAAAATAAAAAATAAAAAAATTGGCACACACATATGCCCGTTAATAAGAACAGATCATGAGCTCAAGTCCTGACGAACGAGATCGATACAATAATGTGGAAAGGCCTTCTTCCACCGAATACAACGCACGGTTTATAAACAGATCATGAGATCCAATCCTGAGCATCTCTGCTCCTGTCTCTTATACACATCTAGATGTGTATAAGAGACAGCACTTACACACACACACACACACACACACACACACACACATAAGTTCTAATCAGGTAAGACTTTTGTTAGCTTATACACTCAGCCTGGCCGTAGACAGCAGGTGTCTTCTCCAAACGACGGAGTTTCACCTTTTGTTAACCGAGTTAGTGCATTCTTGCACCTGAACTGTTTTGACTGCATGCAGACGCAGTTGCGGTCGGATACGTTCAGGAAAGTCTAACTCTCAGTCCATCCTTCCATGACTCCAGACGATTACACACCGCACGTGCTTACGCTGGTTTTTCCTTCCATCCTTCCTCCCTTCCTTCTAAGGGTAGTGCTTATAAAACGGACTGCTCTTTGTAGTTTCCCTCTGTACTACAGGCTTCGGCGGTTATGCGATTGGAAGCGTAGCGTGCGTGTCTCTTTCTTTGGCCTTCTACTTAGTATGTCCTCGTGGCTTCCCTCTTCTTTAAGAGCGGTCGCTTCTCCTGTCCAACCTTGACTATCGAGCGGGAGCTCGGACTGCTGCCACATGCACCCAGGTGGAGCCACGTGCTGCCAGCTTCGTTGGGCTGCAGGCACATGCACGCAATGAGTCGTGGACGTGCAGTGTGAGAGCACCTGCTGCTGTCGAATCTGCAACGGCTCGTTAAGCATCTGCGGAATGAGGCAGTTTGTTCTTGGCTGATCGCTTCTTATTACTATGATTCCCATGACTATTTCTTTTTTTTTGGTGTGAAAATGTCATCTTGGATGATTGCTTAGCTGGCAGTTAGCTCTGCGTTCGCACTTATCTCACCCTCGTCGCAAACCGGAAGAAAGTTCACTTCAGGGAATCACATGTGGGGGTGATACGTGGCAAGTGGCGGCACTTCCGCAGCTGCTAGTTGCATGTCCTCGGCCTCTCGGATCTGATCCGGAGGGATGCCTGTTCCATTGTCTGCCGCTGCAGGTCGATCGATGAAGTCGATAAACTGGCGTAAGATACTAATCTGTCCTTCTCTTGTGTCGTTCTCGGTCGTTTTTTCCAAATTGCAGCAACCACGTAGGCTAGGAATGATGACCACGATAGTGATGGTGGCGGCTATGGTGATCGTCCTCTGCGGCAGCAGCAGCAACGGCCACGTGTCACTCGCCTCCGCTGCCCCCATCGGGCCGCCAAATCTCTTCGCTTGCACAACGCCCCGCCCGCCCCAACCTAATTGCTGCCTTCCGGTCCCCTCTTCCCGCCCGTCCGCTTTCGCCATCAACTCTTCCACCCCACTCCGCACACGCCGCGCACTCCAGAACGTCCTCCAAGATGCACGGTACCTCGCCAGACTCAATGCTGCATACACCAGGCTTCGCAGACTAGAGCGTGAAGCTCCCAACGACCCTCGAGGTCTCGAACAGCAGCGCAAACTTCACTGCGCCTTCTGTTCTGAACCATTGGTCTATGGCAGCCAATACAACATGCACGGCGACTGGTTCTTCCTGCCCTGGCACCGAATGCTCCTTTACTACCACGAGCGCATTCTTGCCTGGGCCACAGGCGATGTCTCTTTTGCCCTTCCGTTTTGGAACTGGGACAGCGATGCCGCTGCTCAGAAGGCCCTCCCCTCTCCCTACGCCAACACCACCTCCGCTCTCTACACAGCACGTCGAAGGGCAGCAGCTGGCATCCAAACCAGGCTTCAAAGGGAAATCACAAGGGATGAACTCTTCAGCGGCATCGGCAGCGTGACCGGACCGGATGACGTCATCGGGACGGCGGGAAATCGTGGATATTTGGAGGGATATGGACATGGTGCCGTCCACAACGCCGTTGGACAGGAGCAACCCCCCCACCGTGACATGGGTGATCTAGCCTGGGCGGGTTACGATCCTGTGTTCTATGCTCACCATGCTAACGTGGACAGGATGTGGTCCGTGTGGAGGCAGTTGCCCGGCAGAAGTGATCCCACGTCAGCGGATTTTCGCAACTCAAGGTTCGTCTTTTACGACGAGAACGCCAACGCCAAGATCATCGCCGTGTCAGACGTCCTCGATCACGCGACCAATCTGAGGTATGTCTATGAGAATGTGCCCAACTCCTGGGCCAGGGCACGACGCGGGGCCAGTCCTGCAGTTGCAGACGATGGAGTGCCGGGAGAGCTGCCGCTGAGAGTTCGTCGAACTTTCCAAGCCTCGGTGACTGTCTCCGCTGAAAACCCCAACGTCGCTACTGCATTCGTGCAGTCTCCCGAGACTACTCCCCGGCGTGGGGTGGTGCCAAAGCTGACCCTGCGCAACGTTGCTCACTCGCTGGCCGAGCCCTTGGCGCTATACGTGTTCATCAACGAGCCTGATGCTGGTGCTAACACGCCAAGGGCGGGCAATCCCAGATATGTCGGAGCTCGTTACCTCGTGGCGGGAGGCATGAGTATGCCAGTCTCCTTCACATTCCCCATCAGCCTAACTTTAGACGGGCTCAATCTCTCGTTGAGCAGCAATTTCACCGTTCAGGTGGTGCGAAGCGTGGAATTCGGAGCGTCGAGGCCTGCGTTGTCTATCCAGTCCATAGATTACGTCCATGACCCACAGGTGTAGAGGCTGCTTCATACCTCCTCCGAAAAACAGGATGTCTCTCTCTCTCTCTCTCTCTCTCTCTCTCTCTCTCTCTCTCTCTCTCTCTCTCTCTTTTCATCCTTACCAGAGTTTGCTACGGATGAAAAATTTACTGTTTTCGTTGTCTTATTTCTACTCATCTTCCCAGTGTGGGCTTTAGGAAACGTACAGGCCACTATTTTAGGAAATGCACGGGCCACTACAGGAGCGCCCAAATTCATCC